TTTTTGCCAAATTTTTAGTAGTAGTGTATAGACATTTGCTAAATAGATTATAGACTTTGCAGCTGAAATATCAGTACAAAGACCCTTCATTAAGATTAGCAGCATCTATATCATATTGTATAACTGATTCTCTTTTTAGCTATAAGAAATTTTCTCAGTAGTTTTTGGATGAACTTCTTTCATATCAGAATTATTTAATAGTTATGGTGGCAGAGTAGTATGTGGGGTAGAATAAAGGACTCTTAATAGTAGTATTGATTTAGAAATTTATATAATTGTAACAGATAGAGCTTAAATTGATAGTGAACAGATTCCTATATGTTTTTCAATTGTTTTAATAAAGTCATCTGATTGAATAATAATAATGACTATATGTATAAAAAGTTTAATCATTATTTTGTTACATTTTTTTGCATAATATACATACTGATTCTTGTTGCTTTTGCTTGTTTTTTTTTATATTTATTTTTTTTAATTATTTTTTATTAAAGTTAGTTGGGTAGATAATGGGTGTGTAGGTGAGAAAATAGATCTTTTACAGGTAGAGAAAGGTGGGGCGAATAGATTTTTTACAAGTGGAAAGGTGGGTAGATAGATCTTTTATGAATAGAAGATAAAGTGATGTATAAATTTTGTAGGTATGCGTATATATGCAATAGCAGAAATAAAAAGTATATTTCTAGTTATTCTTTACTATAGAAGTAACTAAAAATTTACTTTTTATTTTCACCATGCATATATATACTAGAGATGTGACCTGTTATTCATTTAAAATTTAATAGATATTTAGGTAGATATCTGGATCACATCTCTTGTACTATAATTACCAAAGAGGGTAGCTTATTTTTAGAACTAAAAATTTTCTTAATTATCTTTTGGTATGACAAAGAGGATAGCTTATTTTCAGGTCAAAAGCATTTTTATATTTTTGGATTAAAACAGAAAGGTAGCTTATTTTTGGAGATAGCTTATTTTTAATAATATACAGTAGCTGTTTTAATTTAATAATACTAGTATCAAACATATCTTCAAAGAATATTTCTATAGAGGATTCAGTAATAATTTATGAAAAAATTACAAATATTAAAACATTATATTAATATTTTCTTACTGTTTCATCCTAATTGGATAATAATAAAATCATAATGCTTTTATCTGCTATTCAAGTTCATTTTCAAAATTAACTATGTGACACCAGTAATATATATTACAATTAATTTTATTTTGTTAAAGCTTTAAAATTGTCAGTATTAAAAAATACTAGTATAATATATCAACTGCGTTAAAATATTTATTATAATATTTCTTATCTCTATTTACTAGAAGTTGATCTATAGTTTTATATAGATGTACAAACTGATTTTTTTTCTTTAACAATTTTTTAATATTTTGTTTAAGCTCTAAAATTAATGATAATCTATTTATATATTTCTTAATTTTAGCATTATAAGACTCAATATACTGTATGCTTTGTACACTTGCATTGAATATACAGTGTGTAAAGCACAGTACCCAAGCCTCCCTACACTGATAGAGCTAGTATTGCAAATAATTGGTAGCATCAGAATATTTATGCAAAAATTTAACCTATCTTTCTTCGAATATTGACTCAACACAACTATTGCATATATAGTAGAAGTTTGCAAAAAACTTTTCCTATTTTTTACAATATTTAGCAAGAAAATATTTTTTCAAATTTTTTTGAATATAAAAGTTGCTAGCCACCAAAATCATTGCTGGGTCAGCATCTGTATAAAGCAAACATGAAGCCAAATTTCTAGTCATTTTGAGAATACTTGTAAATAGCCATTTATAAGTTTTTTTAGTTTTATCAAAAATAATAGCTGCTGCTACAAGATGAGAATAGTTATGATTATTTATAAGTATTATGATATATAATATCGTTGAATAGCAATTGGTTTTTGCTGTAAAATCTAAAAGGACAACATTATAAAAGTAAGCTCACAATTATTGCTATTCTGGGCTCATTTAACAAAACTTTGTAAGATGATTATTCTTGCCTTCAAATTGAACATTAATATGAAAAGTGGAATCTAACTGTTATTTTTTCACAAGCTCAAGATACCATGAACCAGTATCACTTATTTCTTTTTTTTTGTACCAAATTAACTGAATTAAGTTATACATATTACGATTATGAATATATTTATCTGAAAACTTTTTTTGTAAAATCTTAATTATTGTACTAATATATATTCCACAACTTGCAAGAAATTTTACTTCATTACTCATTTCTAAAGTCAGCTTTTGATAATATATTGCAACCATATTTATATTATCTATAAGTATATGATTATGCTAACCTTCAGTTTTTGAAATATAGATCAAGTTATCTCTTTTTCGCCAATATGCATTAACATAGAATTTGTAATCATAGTATAGTGACTACTATCACAATCATTAATAGTGTGTGCTTCTTTTTGAGATATCTATAGTTGACCTTTGCATATTTATAAATATGATACTAGGGAATGCCATTTTCCTTGTCTTTTTTGCTATAAATAATTATAAATGCAAACTCTCTTTTTAATTCATGATTATCAGTCTATTGGTTAAATTTATTTCAATCTTTAAAATTTATATTTATTTTAATAGGATATCATAGTTCTGAATTGTTTTTATTATCTTGATTTTTATAAGTTTCAGTCATATTTGAAGATGAATTTGGGGGTTTTCTTATTTTTCTATTTTCTGTTTGTTTAAAAAAAGTTATAGGATTACTTGGCTTAAACATATTAAGAAAAGTCTTCATATTACTAGGCCCAAATATATTAAAAAAATTCTTCAAATCATTATTCAAAGAATTATTTGCATTATCAAATTTGACACCAATCAAATTATTTACATTACTAGATCTATCTGTGTTACTAGTTCTAAATATATCGACACCTACCAAATGATCAACTACAAAGAAAAAAAAAATAAGATTATGATTTATTACAAAAAAAAAGTATATGCATTAAAAAAATTTCTCATACCATCAAAGTCAAATTCACTCAAATAATTATTTGCGCTACTAGATTTAGTATTAAAATTATTATTTGCATTACTAGATCTATAGATATTTTCTATATTACCAGTTTCAAACATGTTGACACCTGTCAAATAATTAACTACAAAAGAAAAAAATAAGGTTATGATCTACTGTATATGCATTAAAAAATTTTCTGTACTGCCAAAATCAAATGTATTTAAATAATTACTTGTGCTACCAGATTTAATATCAAAAATAATATCCACAACTGAACCGTTTTCTATATTATCAGGTTCAAACATTTTAACAACTGTCAAACAATCAAATATAAAAAAAAAAAAATTATATTAGAAATAAAATTTTAAAATAAATAAACTTTATAAAATAAATAAAATTTTACTAATATTACTAGTATTTAATACTAGTAGTGTATAATAGTTTAATTTATTATATCTAATCTACTTTCTGATACTAGTATTGAATACCAGTGGTGTAATTTAATAAAACTGTTAAAAATTACTTCAAAAATACACTATTTAGACTAACAATTATTAAGTTTTTAAAAAATTTCAAAACTATAATATCTTTCTGTAAGCAGATAAAGATACAAAAAAATTTTTGTCTAATACTATAAAAAATAAATTTATTTAGTGTTAAATTATATAGTATTTTAATTAATTTATTTAAATTGAATCAATTTTAAAAAAACTGATTAAAGACTAATCTTTTTAACTAGTTATATAGTTTTTGGTTTCAGTTTTAACAAATTTAAACTGATTAATAATAAACTATTAAAATAAGTTAAAACAAACTATAAATAAACTTTTAAATAATTAAAAAACAATAATTAAATAAATTTTTTGATAATAATAGCTAAAATTGATAAAAGATAAAAATCAAATAATTTTTTAAAAAAAAGAAGTAAAAAGTTAAAATTATATATAAGAACCTAATTTTTTATATATTAAAAAAGAGGAAGAGAGTAAACTTCTAATAAAAAATAATTAGATAATAATAACACTACTCTAATTATAAAAATAGCTTATTTTGAAAACAAAGATCAGATAAACTGGACCATAAATATTATTAGAACTGATCTTATTAAAGACTAAAACAAACTAACCCTAAATTTATTTTTATATAAAATAGTTAATATCTTTAACTCTAGCCTTAATATTTATTGTTGGGGATAATGCTAAAATTGGCTAAAGCTAAAAATTTAAAATCTCAATTTAGATTCATAAAATCTATTAAAATCTATTTATACTTGTTTATTATAAATTCTACTCATAAAGCTAACCTCTAACTCTAAAAAAGGTTAAAAAAATATATCCCAAAAATTTTTAAATTTTCATAATAAAATAGGTCAAATTTTCAGCTTCAGCCACCACATTTAACAGAATAATTACTCACATAAAAACAGCTTATTTGTGAGGATAGATACCAGATAAACTGGACTATAAATAGGACCAATCTTATTAGAAACCAAGACAAACCAGCCCTAATTTATTTTTGTACAAAATATTTAATATATTTAACTCTAACCTTAATATTAATTTCATAGTTAGAGTATTGCTAAACATCACCGCAGGTGATCATCACCACTCATATGTTCGACCAATCAAATCGTAGGGTCTCGTGTAACCAAAACAATAGCGAAACTAAGAAAAAAAGTAAAAAACATCGATAACAAGTTATTTTACTATGGCAATGAACCTTTGTGCACTAATTAAAAGTTTTCAGAACAAAATTTCATGTATAATTTTACCTTTCTTATTCTAACCCTGCCTAAACCTAACTCTAAATATCAGATCCTTAAATAAATCTGTAATAAAGCAGTGATGATCACCTGCGGTGATCTTTAGCAAAATTCAATTAATAAAATTTAAAGTTATAATTAGGGTTTAAAAGTACTTGTTGACCACAAACGTCAAAATTTAATTTTTGAATTCTAGGATTATGAAGTTTTATGCTACGATCCGAATAAGAAATGCTAGTTTCATCGCATGGGTCAAAACAGGCCAGGACTGCTTAATAGTTCTGGGTCATTATAGTACAGCATTAGAACGGTCTTTTATAACCAAGTCTGTTATAAAACGAGACACAATATTTGTTTGCATAAAATAAATATATATACAAACGAATGGAAAATAATCTTGCGTACGTATGCATATCAATGCGATCAACGCTATTCAAATTTCCTTATACAGCAAACGCCTAAAATTATGATTATCGTTATTGAAATCTAATGTTAAACAAGGGGGG